GATAACTAAAGGTAGGATCTTTATTAGCAATACACGTAAGGTTAAAGATAGGGAATTTTAATTCATGATAATACTAGTATGAAGAAAATTTAATGTATAAAGAATGAGTATATATTGTAAATTTTAATAAATTACATATTAATTCGTATTATTGTCTCGTAATTCTGTTTATTTTAGTGAATAAAAACGTTCATATTTTATATATATAATTGCATGTAAGTATACACCTAAGTTTACTTTCTAACATAGTAGATGTTCAATATATATATTATGTAAATAAAATCCATTTGAGGTCAGCCACCGTCATCAGTGACTACCTTCATACGTCTTTCATTTCATCTGCACATATCCTTCACATCCTAACTCTATATAATTTATATTGTGGTATCCTTACGTGGTACACTATATACCGTTCTTATATACGACAATAAATACATAGCAAATTTACAAATCAGAAATTAAACTGACCAAGAAATTCAATTTAACAGAACAATAATACTTAATTATTCAATTTAAATGTCTACTTATATTCTCATACAAATTCTTACTTTTGTACCATACTTGATATTTTCACGATTATATATTCAATAAATTATCGTTGGTCATAAATAGAGCCCGGACTTATATGTATTTGCATGTTTGTACTAAATGTATGCACGTCGATAGAGGTTTGAAATGTCCACGATTCATGTCACATCGAATTTAAACACCAAATTTTATATTGTATATTTTGCACATTTCGAGGATTATTGTATATTTGTTGATAAATGCATATAAGATGCATATTTAATGGGTTTTTAATAAATTAGCTATTTTAATTTACAGTAAATTTTGTAATCTCTTCGAATAGAGCACGAATTGACATGATAGGTAATAAGTTAAAAAAATATTATTTTAAAAGATTTGTATTTTTTTTTAAAGTTTTCCATTAGTTTTTTGACAGTAGGTAACTTCAAATGATCTAAAATATTTATAAAATTTTATTTTTATTTTTTAGATTTTTTTTTTTATTTTTTTTTTTTTTGTTTTTTAGTTTCTTAAAAGTTGTAGGTTTATTTAAATGATTTGAAATATGAATCAGTAGATATTATTTTTTTTTATTTTTTTTTTTTTTTTTTTTTTTTAAAATATTTAAATTTTTTTTTTTTTTAATTTTTTGGTTTTAAAAAAAAAAAAAAAAAAAAAATAACATTTTATAAAGTGTAACATAATGCATATAATTGCATATTTAGCCACTTTTTCTTTGCATATTTGCATCATAAATGCATATAAATCTGGGCTCTAGTCATAAATTATTACTAAAAAATATAAATGTTTCTTTTATCGTATCATAATTGATTCCTAGTAATGCGATCGAGCTATCGTTGCCACGTGTCAAATATGCGGGATCTTAAAAGGTAATCTAACCTAGATAAGTCTCTTACTCGGTGATCTGAGTTATTTAGGCCTTATAATTATATATATTACAAAGCAACTATCTCACCAATTTTCCTTTGGAAAGTTTATTAAATTTATCGTAAACTTTGTTTGATTAAATTTAGCCACTATCGACCATTCCCTCAAAAGAGAGGACTTCGCTTAAGCTATGTAAAGCAACACATTATCATAAACTAAACGTGAAATATGGACTACACATACCCTTTAAATTTTTCTTGATCCTTGTTTGTCCATAGAATCGTTTTTTTTTTTTTTTTTTTCAACAGCACATCCATTTAGCGCAAATTGTTTTTGGATTTGTATTCGTTATACGAGTAGTATTACAAAAATGGACAAACAAATTGCAGTCTATGGGACGCATCACTGAATACAAGATTTAATTTTAGTGACCTGCTAAAACTAATTTATCAGTTAATAAATCAATGAATTCAAATAAATGTTTGCTTTTTAATCAACAATTTATTAAAAACGATCAAAATTGTATTCGAGTTAATTTTATAACGTATAAGAAAAATAAAAATGCTTAATTCTCATTTATTATTTCAGTATTGTTATGCATTTATTAGTAATTAGTAAGTTTATATCAATATAATCAACTACATAATACTTACGAATATGTATAAAATATATAATATGTTCCTTGGTCTAAGTAATACTCCTAAAAACATTATGATACCGTTACGTTCAAGTCTTACGGTACATGCGTTGTAGTATAATATAAAATATTTAATACATTTATTTTTGTTACCATTGAATTTAATGTAAGATAAATATTGAATTTTTCAATTTATATATATAAATATATATATCATTAATTTATTATTTACAGTTACCTGTTTTGAGAAGATGTTGAAAAATACGTATATATATGGATTCTATATAAGTGTATATAAATAAAAATTTAGTATAGAAATAATAAAAATTAGAACCGAATAAAATCAATAATTTGCCGATAAAAAAAATATGAACGTTTTTTTATTTCATCCGTCATACATACGTCATAGTCATTTTGATTCAATACAATAATTCGTGCTCAGAAACGTACATCATATGATGCTAATGAACATCACATCTGCTTTTGAATGCTATAGTCTTGACTCTTGCGTCACAAAATATTTCGTCATCACTCATTATTAAAACCGCCGTGTTGCGCTTCTTTTTCTTTTCACGCCAAAACTGTTGATTTGTAGAAACCACGCTCTTAAAAAATGATTGAACTCAAATAGTTTTCCCTACCTATTTTTTTGTTCCCATAATTTAGTCGTCAGTCGATGTATGTCGATCAATCCGTATATTGACTTAGCGTTTTGACAGGCAAATAATACTAGCACCACGCCATGCGTGATAACATTTTAAATAAAAAATTCAAAATGTTAGACTATAAATAGTTAATAATATTATGTTGGCCAGCAATCCTGCACGATCGACCTACCGAGAGTTTTTACAACCCCGTGTTGTGAATATACATACGATTAATGTGCGAGGCATTCCGTCAAGATTAGTGCGTATAATTATAGCTAGAAAGCATAAAACTAAATCAATCAATTTATACCATGAACGTTTATAATATGTTAATCCAATCAAACGTAAACGGTAATGTAAATTCATACGTACTCGAAACCCCTTAGAATCGTATTATAAAAAAAACTAAACGAAATAACAGTATTATAGTTATAATAGTAGAAAGATGTTATTTTAACTCCCCCTTGTAAAACAATAAATATAATTGATGGCGTGATTTGTTTACAAGGGTTTTTTTTCTATGAAATAGAGTTTCTCCAGCAATAGCACTTTGACGTGTTAAAGTTAGTTCATTAATCTTAGGATATAAATTCGATATCTATGTTTGTAATATGCTTATTGTATTAAAACATTATTGTGTGATGGATACGGATGGAAATGAAAACAGGAGTAGTCATTTGATAAGAATTATATATGATATTTGATTGAAAGACACAATGATTCTGCCACGTTTTAGCGTAGTTGAGTGCCGTGTTATGTATAAACAAACAAGTTACAGGAATAGATTTTCTCTCTTACATAATATTAAGCGTTAAAGATCTTAATCACTGTGGTCGTGACTATTGAAAAACTATGATTGAAACTGTTTCATATAATACATATCATTCTACCAAGTTAAATGTTCGTCAACGATAAGTCCCAAAAGTACTTGACCGGGTTCAAGTTTAGGATAATTTTGTTGTTTAATTTATATTGATAATAGTTGACTACGTCGAAGAGCAATTTTTCTGTGTTCACTATTTAGATTATCGAATTTAGCAAACCATTCAGATAGTATAGAGAACACGTGATGTTTAAGTAACTCTGTACATGGATGTCAAAATAGTTAAAGAAGAGTATATATTATTTAAGAGTTAAAATGTTCACGTCACATCTTTGTTTTACAGAAACAACTTTTACACGTACCCGTCAGACACAATCCATTCAATCTTACCCATATAACTTTCAAACATTCGTATGATGAATAAAATATCCTACTAATGTAGGTTTCATAAATGACTCGTGAAAAGTTAACCTTCTCCAGTGAAAAAGCTTGGTTTTGTACACTTTCCGAGACACAAAAAAAAAATAATAAAATAATCATTGCTGTTGTACCGTCGTCCTTCGCAACCTAAAATATATTGTATGGATTATGAACTTAAAAGCGTTGAGTTTGGTCATGCTAATGAAATTTGCATTTTTTCTAATAATTTTTAACAAAATATATACAAATTTACATACCGATCAGATGCATGTATACACTCATCGTTAACTGTTATTCGGTAAATTGTATGAACAAAAGTGTTCGGAATATGCACACGTTTTTCATATACTGTAAGAAAACACCAAGTATAGTTTTTGTCACTCCTGCGCCAAAAGTTTAGTTTTCGACCGCAGTCGAAGCGCTGGAAAACGATCTTTTTCCGTTAGGGTTAGGTGGTTTCCATTGGGTGGTTAAGCGGGAATCACCCCCATAGTGCAGTGCGGTAAAGTGGAAATCCCAAAAGGTGCCGGGCGCGTATTCCCAGCAAAATCGGAAACCAAAATGTATACCATGGTATGCTTACAAAACATAGACTTTTAATAAAATCTTATAATCATAATGCAACCTCCTTGCACGACGCATAAGTATTCAAGCATATTTAATTTTCATAGTTCCTACATAAGTGCGTTGAACGTTACGGATAATAACATCTGTTCAATATAATTGTTTTCGAACAACAGTCTGTTGTTGCATGAACCTTTTCCATGAACGCAAGGGCGTGACAAAAAAAACTTTATGTGTGGCTCACGTGGGAAAGCAATTTCAGTCTCGGACGAAATGTGGTCCTCACCCGCGACTGAAATCGAATATTACATACAGTTTTTCGTGATGTTAATAAACTTGTGATTGATGAAGTGTCGATCTCACTATTGGAACACTTTGAAACTCACAATACTCTGCAACAATTAACCATGTGTTACGAATGCGTTAAGTGAAAAACAGAAGCGTCATAACGCGCAACATAAAACGAATTTATTTAATAATATGTTTTTTTTTTTTTTTTGTTTTTTGATTCAAGATGAAGCACGCATATTGGGTCGAACATTGGGTTACGCTCGACGTGTACTTCACTTTTTACTATGCTTTCCGTGTGATCTTCGTACATACCGGCCCCTGCATATCACTGGTCGTGTTGAACCTTTTACTGTTCAGGTAAGTGATTTGGTAGACAAATTATTACGAAAACAGTAAGTCTCAGCGTTAAATAATAATCGGTCAGTATCGAGCAGTGGATCATGCGGTTTCGAGTTGACGGTTAGACTAATAACGGAGTTCCGTCAATACGTTACAGTACAAAAGTCGTGACACAAAAATAACGCATGAACAAAAATGTCACGAGAAATAGTAACTTATCGCCGCAGGTCGCGTTCGTTCGAAACAGTTTGATAGTTTAGTACCACAAGTACCTATAACAATAAAATTTGGTGCGTAAAGTACATATCAGTGTGCATAAATTGCAATCGTAGCAGAAACTGCTGTAACTATCATGTCATTCAGAGTGTACGAAAAAAAAAGATATAAAAATAAAAAAATAATTCATCGAAAATAAAAGGAAAATAAAAACGATTTGGAAGTGCGCAGAGTACAAAAAAATGTCCGGGTCGTTTTGCACTCGTATGGTTTTTGTGTTCACGATATTTATACAGCGACATTATGACATGGATTCATTAATAATTAAATAACGAATATAGTTGCGTTAAAAATTCACTAAAAAAAATACCAAGATTGCAATGAACATTTATCAAAACTGCACTTTTAATATGTTAAGATTGCAATGAAAAATATATTAAAACTACATAGTCAAATCATATCAAATGTATAATCATTAATTATTTACTTAAATAATATTATGGATATTAATATAATATTTAAAAAATATATGGTTTTTCTGAATTAAAATTTATAATTATACCAGCGACCCGCACTGGTATTATTCGGATCTGTAATAAAACAAATATGTTGAAATTTATAATCATTAGGTCGATGTGGTAGCAAGCTCCTAACTAATTGATATACTTGTCATTGAATTTTAAATGTAAACATAAAACCACGCTCAACTGCTTGCTTACTCTTGAATAAGGTAATTTGAAATACGTTATTATAACAGCGTATATTACACATAAATTGTTTGGATTTCGGATGATCACCCGTAAGCTTAATTACTCGGCTTTTCACGGAACATTCTTGACCGGTACATAGGTTTTAATGGATTATTACCTTACACTATTTAAAGCCAAGTTTTGTGTAACTATTGATAATAAAATAAATAAAACGAAAGTTCAAATGAATCAGTATGGTAGTTTTGGTTGTACGCCGTGCTCTTTTGGCATTCACTGTACTACGACCAATGTTCGAACGATGAAGTCTTGCAGACATGACATTATAATTTCTTTACTAAATAAATAAATTGTTTTCTTGAAAATTGTATTATCTTTTACTTAAAATATGTTTATATAATGAAAAGTACGTTCAACTATTCAACTTGTTATCAGTGCATTTTTAAAATAATTTAAAATATTTGGTGTTGTATTTAAATTAACATTTTGTTTTCCTGCCATAACCTCAGAGTAAATTTTAATATTTTTATATTCTTAATTTTTTCTAGAAGATGTTTTAATTTATCTTTGACTATTCTTCTATTAAAACCGGGATTATTTATCACAATATTATAAATTTCACTAAATATGTTTAAACTATTAAATGATTGGCTGTTTGATTCTTCTAAACTAGTGAGTTTTGTGGATAGCTCAGATAAATTTAATTTTAAATTAAAAATTCTAAAATACGTTTAACTAAATGTAAAAATTTACATCGTAGTTATATTTTTATAATAATATTACTTTAGAAATAATAACTTGAATATTTTATCACATGAAGTATACAACATTTGCATAATCATTGAAAATTGTAAAAACTTACATTATTAAACTAAATAGTAAGACTGTAATTAATCCGAATCATATGCATATTTGATCAGATTTAATTTACTTGATATCAACAAAAAGTTGCAATATCAATTAGATTCCGTTTTTATTAATAATTCACAGTAGGTACATATTGGAGTTTTCATAAGGATGTTCCTCTGTTTCGAAATAATTTCAAACGAGTGCTACAGAAACTTTCACCTCCCGACCTAATACTTATCATTCAGTGGTATAATACATGTGTAGCAGAATTGTACCACAACTTAAAATTACTATTATAAATGAGCCATAAGAAGTACAAATTTGAGGACTAATACCAGTTCCGGATTATACATTTGTGGGCCCCTAGGCAATTAAAATGTTGGGCCCTACAAAATTATTTTTAACATACATCTGTAACATTACTATCCAATAATTAAAATAAACATATTTAATAATAACAGACTATTATTAATAAATAAAATCGTGTTTATTAAACTTTTTTATTGGCGAGAAAAATTAACTAATTATTACATTATTTCTATTTTCTATTTTATTATTGTTACTGCATATAACACCTACAATTTAATATATATTATATTTCATAATGACTTTTGTCCCGTAAATTCGTAAATAAAATACGGGTATTATTAAATAAAATAAAATATAGTTTTCCCTTTTCACAGGTCCCCTTAAATGAGTGAGGACCTAAGGCGGGCGCCTACTCTGCCTAATGGGTAATCCGGCACTGACTAATACAATTAATTAACTATGGAGAGTTCATTGACTTGCAATAAAACTAAATAAAAATAAAATCGAGTGTTTGGAAAAAATTATGTTTTATCTTTAAATAAAGTTCTGAAAATCTTAATTATAGTATAAACCTTGGCGATATAATAATAATAATAGAAGTTCAGGTAGCGAAATAATTAAATTGCATTTATTGATAAACATTTTTGTATTCATATTTGTGAGGATAATCATCATAATTCATAACTCTCGCCCTAATATATGAACTTTAAAATGTCAATACAGAACACTTAAAATACTCTTAAATGAAAATCATAAAAAAAAATTGGAAATTTATACGAGTATGTGTAATGTGTATTATTTTTTTTTTTTTTTTTAAATAAAGGCCTCGACAACATAGCTCATTGGCCTAGAAAAAAAAACAAATAAGTAGTTATATAAACGTAATATAGTTTGGTGGTACTATAGTGAAATACAGTGTTTGTTTTTTTTTTTATTTATACAAGGTGAGTATAAAAGCTAAGAGAGTATTAATAAATGTTCAATAGATAGATTGATTAAAATGAAAATATTTAGATAACTACAGTAAAAATTTAAAATTACATGGTGTATAAAGGTTAGATCGTTTTGTATAAATTAGTGTATTTGACAAATTGTAGTGTGTTGTGGATATTTAGTGGCTCGTTGTTAAGGCATTCGGAAAGGTTGTTTGGGATGTTGTGTTTGGCTCTTTCTTCATTGAATTGACGGCATTCTAACAGTAGGTGTTTGATAGAGATTTTCAGTCCGCAAGTGGTGCATGGTTCAGGTTCGCTATTTTCCATGAAGTGTCTGTGTGTATGCCAGGTGTGTCCTATTCTTAGACACGTTAATATTACGTCCTGTTCTCGGTTTAAGGTGATTGGGTTTGTCCATCTGTCCGTGGTAGGTTTTATCTCCCTTAATTTGTTGTCCCTCAGTTGGTTCCATTCTTTGCGACATAGGTTAGTTATGGTATTTTTGGCATCTCTTTTGTGGTCATCTTTGAAGAACTATTGAATAGTTTCGATGGTCCGATCGCCCGTTGCTTGTCTCGCTGCTGCGTCTGCTCTTTTGTTCCTCTAAATTCCATTGTGGCTGGATATCCATGTTAATGTTATATGTTTATGAGTAGTATTGAGAAGATTTGTAATTTCATTAGTTATTTCATTATTTTTTTTTTTTTATATTCTGAATGATTGTCAATGTACTCAGAGAGTCAGTGAGAATATTGAACGAGTGGCTTGGCATCTCATTTGTTAGTTGAATTGCTTTTCTGATTGCTAAGACTTTAGCAGTAAAGATGCTATTCAGGGCTGGTAGTCTGAATTTGTGAACAGAATTGTTTATAATTACCGCAAAAGCAATACTATTGGCGGTTTTGGATACATCTGTAAATTCTAAAATTTGATCATTGTTCTGCATTTTTTCGCTATAAAAGTTTCTAAATATCCGGGGGTCTGTATTATTTTTTTTATTTTCAGCAAAACTAAAATCTATTTCAAACTTATTTGGTCTCCAAGATGGTTTTTATAATGTTTTTATAATGTGTTTAGGATTAATTTGAGCGTGTTAAAGAAAGGTTCTATTCTTATGCCAATTGGTTTACTTGTGTTGATGGGTACGTTATATGCATCATTATTTATTTTTTTAAATATAGTTTTATAGGTTGGATGATCCGGATAAGAGGCGATTTTGATAGCGTATTGAAGTTCAAGTAATTTCCGTCTATTGTTTAGTGATTTCTCCCCTGAAATGCATAGCAGGCTGTTGATCGGGCTACTTTTAAATGCACTTGTTATTATTCGTAGGTTTTTGTTATGAATTACTTCGAGTTTGGCTAACATAGTATTTTTGGCACTGCTGTATATGATGGAATCATAATCTACTTTAGATCTAATGAGTGCTTTATATACATTAAGAAGGATTTCTTTTTGTGCTCCCCATTTGTTGTTTGCTAATATTTTAATGATAATGGTTGTCTTGATAGCATTGGTTTTAAGGATGGAAATGTGTTTGTTCCAGTTCAGATTATTATCAAAGGTTATTCCAAGATTCCAAGGATTTTGACGTTCTTGACTATGGGTATGATTATATTGTTAACTTTTAGTTAGATACGTGATATAAATCTACGTAATCAAGTATGTGGGGTGTTTTCATTCTTTATTGTAATTTAAATAATTTCAAAGACACCGGAAACATTTCAAGAACTTAACTCTTCCCAGACTTATTAAATATCATGTAGATAAGCCAGTTGAGAATGACTTGTATTCCTAAGTTAAATATTAACTTGCGATAACGCAATTTTAATCATTTTTATTGATTAAAATGTATACACTTAACTATGTATAGGTCTTAACTTATTAAGACTGAACTGCAAAATTAATAACTCTGAAAATATTACCAAACATACTAAAATTATATATATTGCAAATTTTAACTCAGTAAACTTTATAATAATATAGTAATTAGTCTTCTTAC